TTGGAGCAGTTATCTGAATTAAGCAAACTGTGACCTTAATACGTTATGTGTGACCTCGGAATATCTAAATTAAGCGTCGGCGAACGGTCATCGAAATAGTCGCCGGAATTAAGTGCTGTCGAAAAGTAGTCGTCGGAGCAGTTGGGGTGGTGGAAGTGGGGTTGGTTGGATTAATTATATTATATTACAGTTAAATATTTAATTTAATATAATAATTGTAAAATATAATTAATTAATTCATGAATAAACCTGATTTTTACAATTTTAAACTTTGAGATCTGATTTTTTATTTTCTCAAAGTAAATCCCTGAACCATGAACTTTTCCCCACAAATAAAGGTTCAATGAATACGTTTCAATTAAATGAATCTGCATCAGTGTTGTTTTTGTCATTTAGTAATATGACTAAAATGGGCCGTTATATCTTAGCTAAGCCGATCTATTAAACAGAGGATTGGGCCCAAAAGGCGTCAATGAGGATTCAAAGCCACAATATAAACCAAATTCGAATCTGGAAGTGAGTTCCGGGAAACCGCCTCCTTGTTTCCCCAAACCCTAGAATTTTTCTCTGCTGTCCTTCTTTTTGATTGATTTTCCTTCTTCAGTGCTAGCTATAAACGTTGATATACATAAAAATCATATTACAATAATTTATTTGTTCAAATTTTAATATTTAATCTTAGCTTGTGAATCGATTGATGATAATGGACTTCGGGCGGAAGAGGGGTAGACTAGACACCGCCTTCGCGGGTTACGGTGGTTTCAAAAAATCAAAGGATGGTTAGTCTTCGAATTTGAAATTAATTGTTTAATTGATATTTTTGCAATTGATTCTTGGTTGTTTTTATCAAATTGCTGAACGTTATAATTTTTTTTGTTCTTTTAATATTATATTATGTTGGTGTTAAATACTTACGCTTCCTTCAGTTTGAGGGGAGGGGAGGGGAGGTATGTGTGTCTATCAGAATCTGTATGTGCATTTGGCTTGATTGGCTGTTCATATCCTGCAAACTGAATATCAAGGCACCGAGGCTTGTATTTGGGCTGCCAAAGAAGCTGGTGATTGGAGTAACCAATATTAAACCATGCTTCCTAGTGAATTTGCGATGCATTTTGAAACCATGTTGTATGCTCCAAAAACAGACGATCTGGACATTTTTAGATGCATCATTGATGATGCTAGAGAATTTTGTTTACATCTTTGAATCTTCAATAGCATTAACATCTGCTGATTCCAGCTTACTAAATGGTGAGCGATGTGTAAGAGTTTCTTGTTTTCTTTCATCTATTTTGAAGGGGAATTGCCCTTGATTTGTCCTGAAAGTTCCATGGGGAAATGAGTAGAATAGGTGCCCTCGGACCAAAGGAATATGTACCCCTTCATCTGGTTCTAAGCTTTGCTCTAAGCAATTTTACCGGCATGAAATGCAATTGTAATTGCTTGTTAGGAGGCCCCATAAAGAAAATGTTCAACTATAAGCCTACTTTGTTATCCATGGAGTAAGATTGAGAATATCTAACATCCGTCATCATTGTTTCCTTTGGAAACCATAACTGTCAGTGTCAATTTTTTTGCCTGTGTAAATGAAGAATTGCCACATTCAATTTTTCCCATGTCCAACTCAATGTTTAAGCATTTTATTTCATGAAACTCGTCTCAATCTTTTAATTAATGATAAGGTGATATCACTTGTTTAATATGTTTATACATATTCTAGGGTTTGGTGGTTACTAAATAAGGTCTGGTCATTGTGGAACACCTATCAATGTGCTTGAATACCTAATCTTTGATAGTAATCTGGTTATCCTGAATTATTTAATGATTCCGTCATTCCGTGGATCTGATGTTCTTTAAAAATATGATAAATAGTACTTTATTGCATAACTGAAGTAAGATAGTCAATTTTCTGGTACAGAAATGGACTCTTTTACAACTGGTGTAGGAAGGAAAACAATGCCATGCACGAAGTTTTTCAGGTTCTAAATTTCTATTATCCATCTGCAGAAAATAAGTATTCTGAATTTGCGTATTTATTCAAATATATTTGTAGAATGAGACTAAATATATTATCAAACGAACAATACAAACAATCATATTATCTTGATTTGACCCTCAGAGTTGTGATATTTGTTGAATCAACTTACGTTAATATTTGTTTAGGCTATGGGGCCCAGTTATGGGTTTTGTGGGCCTTTGATAAGTGAAGTTGGTTTTTTTTTTTCCCTTTTACTGTTACACTCTAATGATATATATAAATTGAAGAAATGGTAAGAAATTTTTATTGAATTTTTTCATTGTTCTGAGTGCTAATATGTATTACTAGTTCATGGTTATTTCATATACCTGTTTTTCAAGAGTTTACTGTGCACATTTCATTGAGACAGATGATAGTTGGTCACATTTAGCTCATCTCTCTTATTGATGTTTTGTCTGATGGGTAACTTGAGTTGACTATCGAACTACTTGGAGTTGACTTTTTACCCCTGGTTTTGTGCACCTAAAGGCGATGTAAATAAATGAAGTACGCCAAATTAAGTTTTAATTCTCAATTCATTTGAGATCAACTATGTTAGTTTTCCTAGACTTGCTCTGCATATTCAACTCCTTTGAAGTGGAACCACCGGAAATTCTCAAAAAAGCAGCCAAAGTTGACTCTTTTGCCTCCTTGATTTGGGTGATTTGTTAAATATGATGTATATTTAAGCTTAGAGAAACAACGAAGAGGACCATTCCATATTATTAGAGGCATTGGTTCCTTGAAGAATTTGACTTTTCTTTCCCTTTTATTCGTTTGGTTTGTAGTTCTATTGGAGCCCATGGTTTGAAGAATCAAAATTTTCTTTTCATAATTGTTCATTTTTCTTGGTCTATGCAGGGGATAGTACTTTCCAATGGGTTAAAAGTTAATACTTTTTGTTCTTTGGTCTTTGATCTAGTTAAGTGTGTAGTTATGGTGTTATCTAGTGACTGTCTCTGTGGGTGCTTTTATGGAACAAGGCCTTCAATAGATAGTATTAACAAAATGAACCATGGAAAAAGAGTTTGGTGCTTCGAGGGACCAAGGACTCCAATTATACAAGCTTTTGTTTATAGAATAATGGTCCTCTTCTTTATTCTTTCTCTAGGATTTAATTAACATTGTTGCAAAACAAATTCCAATCAAGGATAACGGTTATGAAATATGACAATAAAGTCAACTTTGACAGTTATTAATTTGAGTTTTTTGTGGTTCCATTGATGGAGCTAGTCTAGGAAATCTTAATGGGCTACATGAATTATTTTCGGACTCAGTTCAAGCAATCATTGCGTAATACTATAAGATTCAATGCAACTAAATAAAATGCAACCACATGAACCCATGGCCTTACCTTTCTCTTTTCTTATGTGTTGTGTTCAGATCCTATCACTCTTGTGATGGTTGTCTTCTTTCACCCTATGGAAGTCATCCATCCTTAATTTATATTCAATTGGTGCTACTTCCGTTTGGCATCTATTCTCATTCCGTTTGACAAGGCTAAATATTCATCTTTCGGTACTCATTTCCAATACATTTAGGTTATGGGCATTTTATCCTTTAATAGCCTATTACTCGTCTCAGTGCCATAAAAATATAACTTGTCTAAGAATTATTTTTTGAACTCATTTCTTTTTCTTATAGGTATCATTCTATTGCATAGAATTGATGTATCTCTTCTTTGTTTAATTCAACCCACTGTAATCCTACTTTTTTAAATCCTTTTCCAGTCTGTCCTTGTGAACATAGATACCTCGGACAATCACTTTTTGCAAGAATGTGTTCCACTATTGTGACATCAGTGTCAGCCTTATGCTTATTATGAACATTTGATCTATTTCATCAATTGCAATTACACTTGATCTAGAACCATAGATTATAAAGTAGCACTCCAAAGTTTTCATGGCAAATGAACTCATTCCCTTCCACTTGTCTGTTTATCATGTTCCTAGTCATATGAAGAGCACAGTTTTTATTGCATGAAAATGCTACTGATATATATGCTAGCAGCGCTGTACAACAATGATGTGCTCCCCTGGTGGCTTGTTTTCCGTTGAAACTTAATTATCCCGTGAAGGGGATTTAAATCATGAGTTTTATTTTAATTATTTGTTCTTTCTTCACCTTATATAGTAATTAAATTTGTTTTTATGTTGTTTCTCATTTTTCTGTTTTGGCATGATGCAGCACTTCTGGGTGCTCATTTGGGGAGACATGTCACTTCCAGCATTATTTTCCTGGTTACAGTGCACAAGTCCAGATGGCAAAATTGGGCACCAATGCTGCTGTTCCTTTTACTGACGGTCCTCCTCGAATTGTGAAAACCAAGCTTTGCAGCAACATTAATACTCCCGAAGGATGTAGATTCGGTGATAAGTGCCGCTTTGCCCACAGTGAGATGGAGCTTGGCAAGCCCATAGGGCCAGGTCATGAAGATTCTCGAGCAATGGGTTCAACACATGTGGGAAATTTTGGTTCATCAGCAACGGCAAAAATTAGCATAGATGCCTCTTTTGCTGGAACCATTATTGGTAAAAATGGTGTAAACTCTAGGCAGATTTGTCGACAAACGGGGGTTAAACTTTCTATAAAAGATCACGAAGCAGATCCAAATCAAAGAAATATTGAGCTTGAAGGATCGTTTGATCAGATCAAAGAAGCTAGCGCTATGGTACGGGAGCTCATTACGAACATTAGTTCTTTTGCAGGACGTGCAGAGAAGCCTGTGGGTCGTTTTGGTCAGGGTACTGCACCAAACAATTTCAAGAAAAAGATGTGTGAAAATTTCGCCAAGGGGATGTGTACCTTTGGCGAGAGGTGTCATTTTGCTCATTCTGCTAGTGAATTGCAGAAGCCATTTTTTTGAGCATATAACTTGTAACTTGAAAACTCTACTCACCATGTGATGAAACTTGTGCTAAAAAAAATAAAGTGAAATAGATTAGTGTCTTCATCATGTTCGTTTGTAGTTTCCGATTACAATGTGTTTGGTTGATAATAATGTTGACTTTCATAAATGTTCCCGTCGTGTTTGGTTGTTCTCCATGGACACCACTTGTGCTTTAATAACTTCTGACTTTTTTAAAGGTGTCTGTCGTGATTTGTTGACTTGAAAATTGAAATAGGTTGTTTGCATGCGAGATTACAGTTATGCCTATGGCACCAAGTAGTTAAAGATTTTCGCATATTATGCTGGCTTAAGGTTGAGACTTGTTGCCAGTGATCGTCGAAGGACTTGTATTGTAGCAGAATGTGGGATGGAAGAAGAAAAACAAACTTTTAGTACCGCTAGTAAGATGAAGCTTTTCGTCTGAATTTGGATTGTAGAGAGTAAAATTGCAATGAAGAATAACTTACAGAATTGGTTGGCGCCTATACGTCTTATTCCATAATTAATGGAGTGCTGATGTCCTATTCAAATTTACGTGACATTTGGATCTAACCCACTGAAGGTCAACACCTTCAGTTTCACGTAAGAAGATAAAACAGGAAAAGGAAAAAGGAAAACTCTTGTTTGCGCCCTCACCCACTGGTTCTACCTCCCCGTCAACCCTCGTAGTAAGTGCGTGATATGTGACAATAAAGTTTCATTTTTAGTTAGATATGGATGATTGAAATAGACGAAAATTCCTTTTGATACATCAATTTTTAATTGTATTAAAGGTTTTCAACCTTTTCTTATTGTCACACTTGTATTTCTAATTTTTTCGTAGTTGTTGTCTCCACAAATACATGGTACCGTGGACAAGTAATATAGAATAAGTAGAGTATCGATACCACAAGAATTGCCTATTAATCACTTTAATTAAGCCCATGTTTGGTGGGGATTAAAATTAATTTTTTAATAGATTTTGATAAAAATTGATGAAATATATAGTTTGAAAAGTTATAGGTCTCATAATATATGTGATTAAAATTAAATGCCGACTTTAACTTAGATTAAGCCCTCGCTTGATACCCATTATTTAAAAATACATTTTCCCTTTTTTTTTTCAACCGTGTACTCTTCAATAAAATGATATTACAAGCAAACCCAAATTTTTTTCTTATTTTTTTAACCACAAATTCTACATCAATCTACTATTCTTAAATATATTCTTCAATAAAAATGGGGCTGAAACGAGTTTTAAAATTTAGATTTTAATCTCTACCAAATATGGATTAAAACTAACTTTAATTGGGACACGGATTTAGAATCTGTTTGGTACCGATTAAAATCTAGATTTTAATCTAAGTCAAAGTCAATAATTCATTTCAATCACATATTTCATAAGTTTCATAACTTTTTAACCACACATTTCACCAATTTCTATCAAAATCTACTAAAAATCTGATTTCAATACCCACAAACAGAGGCTTAATAAGAAGTTTTTGACCTCAAAAAGTGAAGCCAACAGGGCCCTTAATCACCTTGTCTACTTCACCCTCCTGACCTTTCTCCAATTGTCGTAGCTCTGCTGGAGAGCATATTGAAATGGCAACTACCGTCTATCCAAAGGTTAAGAATGTGAAGAGCAACAATTTGGCTAGGGTTTTATATTAATCTCAGTTTTCATGCAAAATAGTGGAGTATGTCATAAGTGTCATAATTGTCCTAAAAGAGTCTTTTATAGAAATCGGAGAGAGTTTGTTTAATGTCAATGCATTTCTTTTGAGTAAAGTCATTTATGACAATACGAGTCTTATGTCTCCCAACATCACCCTTTGAATCCCTCCTGATTTTAAATATCTATTTACAACAATGACCTTTGTACCTTCAGACGATGAGATGATTACTCAAACGTCATTATCTTTCATGGACTTTATCTCTTTATTAATGACATCAATACACTCTTGAAAATTATTCCTTTGCATGGCTTGATAAAAGTTAATTGATCAACTCTTTTCTATCAATCTAATGTCATTCTTAATTTCTTAGAAAAATACTATAAAATCATCTGAAATTGTTTTTCTCCTTTTAATAGTGAATTTCCTTAATGACATTTGACTTTGATGCTGTTGAGTTTGTTTTTCTAGAACAATCTCTTGATTATGTATAAGGGATTTTGTAATATTATATTGATTCGAAATTATTTTTTGAATAAGATTTGGAGTAAGAATTTGTCCCTAATCCTGATCATTGTCAATTGCAATAGAAGTGATATATGCATATTCTTTCTCAAAAATAAAATCTTTAACTTTAAAACCTTATCTCCCCCCGCAAACTATACATTCTCAAAGAATCAAACATTTACCGTTTCGAAAATTGACCTAATATTGTGATTTTTAAAAATTTATAACCCATTAACAGTTGCTTTATGTAAAACTTAATTGAGAATTTAAGCTGCAATTTTAAGTGCTTCTTCCTAGAGAGATTCTCGCAAGGTGAAATGACTAATCATACTTCTTACCATGTCCTTAAGTGTTATGTTCTGTCTCTCAATAACACCATTCCTCTAAAAAATTTAGTAAATGGCTCTGGACATTGTTCTCCTGATCCATCAAATCTGCCATAATATTCACTACCATGAATAGATCTAACGTGTTTTATTCTTTTATTGAGTTGATTTTTAACCTCATACTTATAAGCCTTGAACATGTCCAGTGATTGAATTTTTTTATAAATGAAATATAGGTAACCATAATGAGAAAAATTGTCTATGAACGTAATAAATGACTATTGACCATTCCAAGATGCCGAAGAGAATGGCCCACATATATCCGTATGAATTAGTTATAAAACGTTCTAAATTTTACGGGCACCTAATTTCCTTATATTTTTTTTTGGTTTTTCCCCTAATGTAATTAATAAAAACACTTAAGTTTGAAAAATTAAATGAATTAAAAATTCCTTCTAACACAAGCTATTCCTTATAAGAGACAACCGTATTAAACAAATATATGTTATCATAACAGATAAAGAACTGGTACCTACAATATTTGAATTGAGAAAAAGACTAAATTGAATAGTTTCAATTAAATAAGAGTAACCGAATTTGTCCAACATAGAAACAGAAATCAAATTCTGTTTAAAAGACGATATCTCAAATGTCTCTTTCAAATCTAAACAATAACCAGTTTTAAATAATAATCTAAAAGTTCTTATAATATCAACTTTAATTGATTTACCATCGCCCCACATAGATGAATCTTTCAACGTCAATTGACTTTTGACTGTTCAAGCAATCTCGCATAGACACACTTATGTTAGTAGCAACACCAGATTTTATCCACTAAATGTGTCTTGATATTGAAACCAAATCAACTTTAGAACAAACCAAAGTGAGAAGTGTATTTTTCTTTACATGCCAAGCGTGGTATTTAGTACAGTCCCTCTTTATGTATTCCAAATTTTCACAAGAGTAACAGTCAAATGATTTATCCTTTTTAGGCTTTTACTGTCTCTTTTGAGCAAAACCAAATGCAGATTCCTTATCCTTTAACTTGACCTTAGAGGTACTTGCCTCTCTTACTTTAGACTTTCTTTTTCTTGTACACAATTGCAATGAGCTCATCAAAAGTCCACTTCTCATTTTGACAATTGTATCTGGCCTTAATTAACTGAATTGTGCAGGAAGATAAATCAAAACGAAATGCACGAGCATGTCATCAGTCGACTCAAACTTTAATGCATTTAGTTTTGAAGCAAGATGAGACATATCCATGATGTATTCCCTTGTGTTTTCTTTAGCCTTACACTTTATTGAAACCAAGTTCGGCCGATGCATTCTAGTTTCGCCCTTATCGCCTTTTGTAAAGTGGTTTTCGATTTCTTTAAGAAATTCCTTGCAGTGATTACCTTGTCGGACAGAATACTCCTGAATGTGGCTAGAATTCCACACTTCATGGTCATAAAATTTATACGATTTGAACAATTCCACTTATCCGTGTCCCATTTTATTAGCGGAATATTTATTCGTAAAAGTAGTGGGTTGTTCAGTCCTTAACGCAAGGTCTAGAACCATACCACCAAGAACAATACAAACATTTGCTTTTCAGCCCTTAAACTTTGGTCCAAGCAAAAGAATTGAATTGATGTTTGCAAATATTGCAGAAGTGGGTGAATTAACTGATAGAGAATTTAAACCTAATTAACATGTTCACATGAGAATCCATATTGAGCAATCAATAAATTCAAATAATGGTGGGCTTCATCAAAAGAAATTAAGCACAACATTGACATTTAGTCTTGAAACATAAATATCAACTTATAAATGATATTCTTGGTTTAGTAATTAAATATTGATAATAAGTCATGTCAAACATTAATTCTATTTTTGGATCAACTCAATTTCGCATAAAAAATAAACTTTATAATTGTCACATATTTATTACCACATGTATGCAAATAATTCGGCCAAATATTGACATTTCTCTGGATCGATCAATATCCGCATGAATTATATACACACAACTTTCCTAATATTCCAAAAAAATTAATCAAGACAATGAGATGTTACTTTGGTAACATGTTGCTTCATTTAATTTATTTTAAAAAATTAGTAAACCGAAAGAAACTATAATTTCAAGATTTGAATTTGATTGTCCTTCCATTTTTTTTAAAGAAAAAGACAGTGATGCCATGGAACTGTTCCTGGACGCTTCTCAAGTCTCAACTATTTTATATGAGTTTGTTCAAGTGATTTGGCATTGGAATTCCAACAAATTATACTTACACCTCACAGCATCATCCCTGGCTATTGTGCAGGTAGTAGGTCTAAATCGAAATCCTTTACAAGTCAAATATCCTTAATCCAAATTACTCAAAATACAAGTTGCAATTATAACTATACTCAAATTCAATAATTAATTTCTAAAGTTGTCAAATTTGAAGAACATCCAAAAATCTAAAATTTAAAATCGGGGGCAAAAATTCGCATCCTAAAA